GTAATAATATTTTTCTATTTTTTTTTTTTTTTTTTTTGTTGTTGTTTGTTGTGTTGTCTTTTTTTTTCTAAAATAAAAAAAAAATCAAAAAAAAACAATATAAAACATATACCTTAGTGTTCAACTCAATTTTCTTTTTTTGGTCGTCTATTGGGAATGGGATGTGGACAGGGACGGGGACGGGGACGGTGGGGGTGTTGGTGGTGGTGTAGGGGGTGACTTGCCGCCGGCGGAGGTTATGGCTCAGGGGGTGTCGTCGCCGTTGTCGTTGTCGTTGCCGCTGACGACGGGGCTGTCTAACTACGGCGTTGAGGGGGTTGGTGGGGATGGGGATAGGAATGGTGAGGGCTTTGGGCCTTGCGTTGGGTTTGAGTATAAGCGGTTTGATGTGGGCTTCATGTGAGGGGATGTGTTGGGCTTGGTGGTGAGGGTGAGGTGGTAGTTGGGGGGGTTGTGAGCTCAGTGTTTGGGTTGCTGGGATTCAGAAGCTCGGTTGTCATGACAGAGCTGTTGTGCTTGGTCGCACTACACCCTGAACGGCTTTTTTTTGGTCTCCGTCGGCGCATATTCTCGATGTGTGAAAGCGCCAAGCGTCGACAGCCTTTAACTAGGATGCTGCTATTGATTGGGGTTTTACGCATCGTCACCTAGTTAGCACTCTCGGATCTGTGTCCGAGCAACCGCTATTGTTGATCTCGTTGATTGCATTGCCGTCATCCCACAACCCTCCGCTCACAGCCCCGGATCTGGCACATTCCGAGAGTGATGGTCTCGAGCACGCATGCCCTCCGAATTCTTGATTACTTATCTGGCAATCTCTCAGCCGGCCATGGCCACAACACAACGCCGTCGGTTGCAGATCACCTAAACCCGCCGGCCGATGCTCAGCCCTCGATGGAACCCCCGATTTCTCTCGGGGCACATTCTCACGAAGCCTGACTCCGGCACGTGGAACGGCCTCGTTCCGCATCCAATCCCGCGCGGCGAGAGCCGTTGTGAGGGCTGCGATCCTCTGTCCGATCGCCTCCCTTGCAGCCCGGGAGCCCCTTGAGCCCCTAGCGTTAAGATTACAAGCGCGGTGCTATCGCTAATTATTGCAACGATAAGGCCCTTCTCCAGACCGTGGATCCCGGAGTTATGGGGCCCCTCGCTACGGAGGCAGCGGTCTCCCTGCTTTGTTTGTGGGTGTATGACGTTGCGGTCCGAGGAGAGCCAGGGGCCCCACGAAAAGAAGGGGAAAGGAAGAAAAATGTTTAGTTAGTGACTGTGGAAGTTGCTTGGTTCAGTTAGTAACCATGGGCCATTTTCCCTCACCCACCACAAGAAATGTGTGTTACCTATCACACTGTAGCTCAAAAAAAAAAAAAAAAAAAAAAAGAAAGAAAAAGAAAAAAAGAGCCGAACTTGAAAGGGGAGCAAAGAGCCAAGAAGGTGAAAGAAGTAAAAGCAACTAAGAAAATAATAAAATGTGAAGAAAACCGGGTAGAATAAGTCAAATGAAAGGAACCAAGTAAAATAAAAAGTTGGCGTTCGGCTTCCGAATGGCATTCTTTTCGTTCCTCCAGCCGAAGGGGTTGTCGGCAGCTGCACCTAGAGCTCGCCTTTTTTGCCCATGTGATGGGGTGATTCGCTTTCCTTTCGCACTTCTTCCTTCCGCTCCCCCTCGCGGGAATGTGCCCACTGAGCCACTTCTTCCCCGCTCACTTCGATAGTTTTATCATCATGTTGCTGTCTTGTCAGTGCGCGAGCTAGCGGGCGTGGTAGTCTCGGCCCGCTATCGAGGATCCGGGGTCGAGGAAAGTTTGGCGCTGGTGACATGCTGGCTCATTGTTTTCGGGTTCGTCTCACGGAGGATGCCGTCATGCATACCAAAATCGAAACAAGATCGACAGCGCTGTTCTCGGCGAGCGCGATGAGGCCTTGGGTATGTGAATGATTCGCAAAGCTTGCTAACCCGCGATTGGTTAGTAGTCGAACGACGGGCCGGTGAGTCGGGGATGTTCGTGCCAGATTACGCAGGACAGAGGGAGTTGGGTATGGCGGATGAGGGGGATCTTGACACTAACTCTCTCGTGTGTCTTGTGATGGCTATTTTGGGCTGCTGGTGGGGGTATGCCCAGGGGTGTTTGCTGGGCGCTTCCTGGCGTGGTGTTTGCTTCAATACACAGTACATTCACGGCCGCAGACGCCTGAGAGGAGGTGGATCCCTAACCCAGATGGAGCTCAGACCATATCGCCTGGAATCCTTTTTCAGCTGGTGTTGGAGGTTGGGGCTCTGCTCGAAACAACCCCCTTATTTTGTCGCTTGTCTTTTCCGTTTGGCATGCAGTAACATGAAGGCACCATCTCGAGCCATCATGATGCTGCTGAAACAGGCGGTCAGCCGGGAATAGGGGGTGGCAACATCTTTGACAATTGGTGACTCGAAATGGCAGGTACTGTAACTGACACTTTGGTATGCTGCGAGTTGCTGCAGATGCCAAGACGGCCTCCCCTTTCTCCCAGGTTCAGGATCTCGGGCCCCAAGATCCCAGATCTGGCGGCTGAAAGAGAATGACAGATGGCTAGCGATGCAGGCACTCGCTGGGTGGGACGTGCCACCCGGAATTATCCACGTCGATCACCGAGAATATGTGGATGTCTCGGCACCATCTGGCCAAAAACAGCCGAACTTGAAAGGGGAGCAAGAAATCAAGAAAAGAGAAAGAGGTCAAGGAAATATTGTAAAAGAAATCAAATAAAGCAACCGAGTCAAATAACGAGCTGATTTTGTGCTTCCCAATGGCTTCCTTTTCGTTCCTCCAGTTAGTCGAAGGTTTCAACGGTGCCTGCACTTGGAGTTCGGCTTTTTTTGCCCATGGGGTGCCCGGTAAGGGACAGGATCGAATGCAACCTGGATTTTGTGTTGATCGGTTTTGGGTTCGGTGTTCGGTGTGAGAGGGCGGCTCAGCCTGGCAAATCAGCAGCTGTCAAGGCATTGCTGTGCCACGGAATATCGATTGTCTCGTTGCTTCTTTGGAGATGCCTCGATCGAATGCGGGGGCGCTAGGGTTTCCAAAACCTGGAGTAATGAGCCGTGAGGTGGCCATGAACTACACCCGTGCTTTGCATGATGTGTTTCGTACCTGGGGCGTTGTATTGATGCCCAGATGTCTCGGATGCAAGGCATCAAGAAAGAAGAAAACCCCGGATTCAGGCAGTAATTAAGATGTGTGCTGCCAGATCTCGAGGGCGGGGTTAACGTGCCATCGTTTAACGGGTCTCAAACCCGGAAAGTGTGCCGGGGTGGGTGGTTCCTTCCCTTCCATATCTCCATACTCAGATGTACGGGCAGATAATTGTTCTCCGTGCCCAAAACTCTCTGGGTCTTCCCGAGCCAAGCCCCTAAGGGCCGAGGTGTCTCGGTGTGGTTATCGGCCTGCAGCAGCAATGCAGCAGCAATGCAGTTGCAATGCAGTAGCAGGGGGGAGAGGGGGGAGACGGCACGTAGCCATTTGCCGCCACCAGACCGCAGGGTACGCCGTGTGCGTACTTGGTTCCGCATTTTCCGCCTCCCGCATGTGCCTTTTCGAGAACGAGATGTGTCTCATACTCGTCACTCGTCTCACCTGAGGCATGAAAGTCAAAGAAACGAGAGCGCCACTCCTGCGAGACGGCCCGAGCACAACAAAGCTCTTCCAGGCCATTGGATCCGTCACTCTGACCGCTTGCTGCAAAGTCAACTTGAAGGGGAAGATTGTGGGCCGCTGGACCTGACTCGAGCGGAGCTTGCCTCGGTGGTTGTTGATGAACCGGGGAAGAGGTGAGCATCGGGCCACGAAAGTTGGGTGGAGGCACGGGCGAGATATTGCCTCTTGCTGCAGCTGGCGCGGCAAGGGTTTGCGGCGTCTGGGGCTGATCTCCCCTGCGTGCGGCGGAGGAAACGCTCAACGCTGCGGCCTCATAGCACGGCAATTAAGGCCAAGGTTAGCCAACGACTGGGCGATGTGGGCACGAGAGTTAAGATCAAAAAGCAAATCCCACTTCGTTTTCAATGCCGCGGACTGGTTGATGTTGAGTCTTTGGACGGGCCGTTACTTAGTTAGCCCCACAATGAAACCGGGCAATTGGACGCTCAGGGGTAAGTTTGACCGAGACAACGTCGAGAACGCTGTGTGCTGTCTGTCCTGCCCGTCGTGATGGGAACGATTCGACGGTGCGAGTCGCCAGCTCACCGTTTACACACCAGTTCGATATTGCGTGTGGAGGTCACAAGACGAGCAAATTCACCCTAGCTGCGGTGGTCGCAGTGACCCTCCATCCAAACAAATTGGGCCACACACACGACCAGCGTCTTTGTCGGCTCTTGAAGAGCGTCATTCCACACCACCATTGGCAAGATCCTAGCTCCGAAGCCGGAACTCTGTCAGTTTGGATTCCCTGCGTTGTGTCACCAAGAGCCGGCTTGTGCCCTGAGACAAGCGTCAGGTACCTGGAGCAAAAATGCGGTCAACCAGTCCCCTGCATGGGCTGTATCCTATCATCTGAATTCAACCGTTGTTGTCTGTTTGTTACTGTGGAACTGTTGATGCGGCTGATTTCAACGTTGGAAGGGATAAAAGACATTAAAAAAAGGTGAAAAAAGAGGGGACAGTGGAAGACAGAGGGAGTAGAGATAAGTTTGGAGTATATAGCAGTTCGTTCTTCGGTTCCTCTCTGAGCTTCTTTTAGTCTCCTTTTCGGCCATCGATTCTTTCGTGCAAAGCCAGATGACAACGAACAAACAAACTGACAGCTGGACACCTTCCGATCCTGCTGCCGTCCTTCCCGCGCGGAACGGGGCAATCAGCAAGGGGTACAAGCGTGGTTGCATCTGCTGCTTCTTTTTGCCTCTTTAGCGGTCGGCCTAACGCCGACTCGCCTTCCACGGGTGGGGTTTCGCGCTTCACAGCAGCACCGCCGCTGACACTCGTTCAGGAATGATGTGCGACCCGGTGGCCCAGTGCGAGAGGATTCACGGTTGGTGCGCCATGCAGGGTCGGCCACATGGTTTTGGACCAGGGGCGCGGAAGCCTCTGCGCCTCCGTTTGCCGTGGGCGTGCGACCATGGGGCGACGATGATGTTTGACGCTGCACGCCGAGGGCATGAGGAGGAGCCAGGGAGCGAGCGTACCGGGCAAAAGATAGACTTGTCACCTTGGACGCGACACCACGGTCCACGGCTCAACGCCGGTTGGAAGAATGCGACAATGGGATGCTGCGTGGGGGGCTCGCTTCGGCACCTGGTCCCCTCGATTTTTGGCTCAGAGGTCCCAAAACCAGGCTCCTCGGAGGGAGGGGCGCAAGAACGGTTTATGGTTGCGGTGCAGAGTTGCATCCGTGGAACAGGGCGCTCAATTACTTAGCGGCTCAATCACTGAGCGCGCTGTCGCCTTCAGGACTCGAAAAAGGGCGTTGGTTGTTGGCATTGCAAGCCCTCAATCGCCCCCAAATGGCCCATGCCGGAGAACAGGAAGAAGGAATAAAACCAGCACCGAGGTTGCACATTTGTGGCTCCATCTGGGGTCAAAGCTCAGGTGGCATGGACGTTCGTCAAGCGCACGGTGACAGTTGCTAACCTCGAAGACCTTAGCGACCTCCACCCTTGATCCATACTCGCGAGTTCCATGACCCCACCCCTTTTTCGATTAGCGACTGCACAGGGGTTGGCGGAATATGCTACCTCTTTGGGTTCGCGCAAGTTAAACAGGTTTAGTGACGACCCTTTTTGGTGGGCTTCTGTCCTTGCTTGTCCGCGGGCTCGGGACAATAAGAAAAACGCTATCATATGCGGTCTGTGCTTTAGGTATTTCTCGAAACAGGGGGAACATGCATTCCGGACTGGGGTAAGTCGAGAGAGTCATGGAGGGAGGCTGAGAGCTCTCGTGGAAGCTGTCCCCCGTAAACAAGGAAGGAGTTCGAGGAGTTTGGAGATGCAAAAACTTCTCTCAGTACAACAAAAATCGGTCGACAAGGTGAATCAAAAATGTACATAAAACAGAAAGGGTAAGCGGTGCCGAAGACACCCGGCCCGGGCTTGCGGTGCAATCAATCTGGGCGATGGGAAACCCTGGTCACCTCGCTGTCGCGACCCCTCCACTTTCGTTTGTTGCCTCCCCCTTGTGCATGTCCGGGTAGGCTCGACAGGCTCCGTCCCCAATATTCGCGACTAAAGTTCCCCATCGCCTGCTGCTAAACTAGCGCATGTTCTTTCTGGAAAATGTCTCTTGGCTCGCCTTGGCTGCAGCTGCCCCAGTCCACATGCTCCAGAGTGGGCGTTTTTTTATTAATCTCTCTCCTGGACTTCCGGACGCCGCCGTCGTCTCTTATTCACTTGGAGCCCGGTTTTGGCTTTCTCTTGGACGATCCCTTCCCGCGTTCGCTTGCTTTGGCTTGACGGGTTGTTTGGATCAACCTCTGGATGTGACCCGCAGTTGATAATCGGGCGGCATCTTCCTGTTGTTCGGTGGGCCGGTTTTCGTTTGCCTCTCTGTCTGAGTTTGGAGGGACGAAGGGAAAACGGGCCATCTGCGAATACCCCGTTCGCATTCGACTGTCTTATTTCGCCATGCGCCCCCTTTAATGGCTAATACCTTCAATTCTCGTCCAAGGCCTTCATCCCTAACGGGATTCCCTTTCCGATCCCCTTTGTCTAGCAGTCGACGAGGCAGCATAGCAGATATCATGGAGGGACCTCTTAGTGTGCCTCCCGACCGGGGCACCATTATTGGTAGAGCGGTTTGGAAGGTACTTAGCCCGCGTGTGGTATCGCGTGGTTTGAGTTGTGGATGTTAATTTGTTGGCAGGTGCGATATGTGGTTGTCGGTGGCGCGAATCGAGACCGGACGCAGCCTGGACCAGCCAACCGTACTACGGCACCGAAGGATCTCGCCAGGCCGACTCCAGAAGGCATCTTCCTTACCATCTACAAGACCAAGGTGAGTCCGAAAGCATTGTTATGGCCACTAGAAAGAGCGGCAATCCTAACCAGCACGGGCGGGAACAGGAGGATACCGAGCCGATACAGCAGTACGCACTTAGTTCGATTGCCGATTGCCAACTCCAGTTGATGGCGCACCGCAAGCAGGGCCCAGTTCTCCCGACAATGGTCCTCAATGTTTTGCCAGATCCGACGTTGGACAAGGCCCGGAAGCGGCGGTCGAGCAGGACTGCCGGGTTCGCAGCTCCGAGGGAGACAGGACCGACCACCTTGTTGTTTCGCCCTGGAGACGAGCTACAGAATCTTCAAGAGTGGGCGCGCTTCATCCAGCAACACATCCAGCCACATATCCCGGACAGAACCCCCATGAGCCCGCTGACACCAGCGTCGCCGACTTTCGTCAACCCGTTCGCGCCTCGATCAAGGGAGCCCAGCGACATGCAGCCGAGGCCCGGGCAGTGGGAATGGTTCTCGACCAGGGTTTTTCTTAAAGAACTCCTCGCAATCCAGTTCTGTCCGCGATCGACCCCTGACTTTCTCCGATTCCCCGAGTCTGCGATCGAAACGGAGCGACTTGTCTTCTCAGACCAGCGTCATGACCCAGCCTCACATGGGTTTCCACAACTACACCACAATGGCCCCTGCCGACCTCCCGTCTCCGGCGACCACAGTCGGGGAATATCAGGGCGAGTTTATTGAGGGATGGACGTCAGCTCAGGGCAGGTCATCGGCTCTCAGCTCTCCCATCCGGGGCCGCGGAAGTGTCAGCTCACAGGTCCCGACTTCGCTACCGCCAATACCTGATTCCACTTCCACGCCAGGGCCGCGTGAAACGATCCTCGACAGGGCTTTCCAGCTGCGCTGCATACCTGGCTCCGAACGCGAAGTTCCCGGGGAGGAGAAGTTGAGTTCACTGGCCCGATTCGAGGCCTTGATGCGGGAGGTGGATGAGAAGAGGAGGCAACGGGAAGACGAAGAGGCGAAGGCAAGGCCGATGACTGCGGCAGGTTTGTTGGCCAGAACATCGGGTCCCGAACCTAGGAGCGCATTCGACGAAGACGACTCAGATTCGGATTCAGACTCAGAACAAGACTCGGATGACGATGACGACGATAGTGATGGGATCGCAAGGGAAACGGACCTTGAGGACCAGTTTTCGTCATCGAATTCAGCCCAACGAGCCTTGGATTTTATCACGGGGAGGTACGACCCCACGGTACGGCACCAACTAGCGTCGCGAGGCCATGGCATCAGGTCTCCGCCGAGCTATAACCACGACGCCTTCATGGCATTGTCAAGCGCCGCATCCTCTCAAACGCGGCCTCAGACAGGGTATTCAAACAACCGAAACCGGCCGGGAATGACACAACGAACCCACAGCCAGCCGCACCTCGCGAGCATATTGGCGTCGTCTACACCCCTAGACGCGCCAAGGGAGTCCGAGGAGGGGACGGGGTTCAGCTTCACCCCAGGCTCCCCTTCGGCTGTCCACCGCACCTCTGCTGAAAAGCGGCAGTCGTCGTCGAGCGCCAAGGGCCTCGGATTTACCGAATTTACGAGGCGGCTAAGTAGCACAAGCAGTTTGCTCCTCATGCAGACAAATGCCAGCGGTGCCGCCAGCAGCCGGGCGAGCAACAGCGACATGGACATGCAGCAGTGCCCACAGTCGCCACCCCAGCACCTACACCACCTCCATCCCAGAGCTGGCCCACCGGCGGCGCAGCAGCACCAGCCCCCGCAGTCTCCCCCGCCACTAGGCGAGCGTGAGCGCTGCGGCTGGCGGGGCAGCGTGGGTGTATTTGGGGGCGGCGATGGCAGCTTCCTGTGACCAAGCATGGCTCGTCAGCACTGCAGTTTCCAATTTACAATGCATCGTCCTGGTTTTAACGCTTCATGAGTTTCCCGCCAGCATCTTTCGGTGTCACAATCTTCGGCATTTATTTCATTCTTCATACCAGTCCAGCTTTTCAAGGCTTCAATTTTGTACTCCAACATCCTCGTCCGTCTTGACGCGCTCCCGAAACCTCCTCATACAACGCCATATCATCGACCGACTCACACCAACCATCTTCATCACTCCATCTACCCCAACATTATCTCTATGACGACCGGCCCATGACCGAGAAATTACTTATGTAAAGGAACATCTGGCGTTAATCATAATTCTTCACATTCTGTGATGTTTTACTACCTTCTATCAAACAAAGGGGGGCGTCGGGGGACATGAGGTTTCTGGTTCGCTATCTGTAACATGTATACAGTTGTGTTATCTTCTGTTCCCTGAGATAATTCTATGGACAGCGTTTCCTGTCCTCCCATTCGTATCATTTCTCGGAACGGACAAAAAGGAGTCCGCACATTGGACATTTGTACTTGTATATACACAACACACATAGGTAGTACATACATAAACGTTTATCCACACGAAGTGAAGTACTCAAGGTCAGTGTCAAAAAGTGATGTTCCTTTCCAATCTTGGCACTCACCTACACCACCACATTTTCCCCATTCGAAAAGCCGCACCTCAGCCTTTTAGAGATACTTCTGTTTAGGTATCAAAGAAAGCCATTGAGCTGTTTTATTAGCCTAATAGTTTTTTTCTGGTAAAATGTATTGAGGGCCGAGGGAGAAAGGAGGTTGAAGAATTAGACGGAAACTTAGTATATTGTCACGGTTATGGCCGCCTGCAGCCGGCCGGCGGGGTACGCTGGCAGTATCCCGAACCAATCATTGGGGAGGACTACACGGCCAATGAGACAGCGGTCCCATTGCTCATGAAGGGCCATGCCAAGAGAATGAGCAAGTGCTCATTCTGCTCAACAAGGGAGCTATGAGCACTCTGAGCAACCCGTGCTCAGAATGCTCAGCGACAGGTCCCTGAGCACTTTGAGCACACTAGGATAGCCAGTATATAGTCACTCGTTCTGGAGAGCTCTGGGAGTTCTCCAGTTAGCAATCACAACTACAGTTCGCTACAAGCTCGAGAGCCTACTGTTGAGACAAGTCTTTGTTGTGCACCCTTTGGCTGCACCGAACCTAAGCACCCTTGAGAGATTACCTTCAACCGAAGCTGAACCCTAACATTACAGGGTCCTGAAGTAGGTTCGTCACAAGATTGCATTTGTTTTTATTAAGTTGTGGCTATTAGAATGTGAGTGGTGGTGGTGGAGGTGGGTGCCAAGATTGGAAAGGAACAACACTTTTTGACAGTGACTTTAACAAGCATTCATCAGATCCCCATCTATGTATGGATGTACACACACTATTATTATGAACTAGTTATATCGATCCTCTTAATGCTCCCCCGCTCAGGGGTTAGTCCAATAAGATAGCTATTAATTGGATCCAGTTAGATGCGGTCCGCGCACCGTGCCCAACGTCAGTGCTTGACCCGACGGCACGGCGAGATGGCCAAGAATGGGTCGGTCCGGTCGGCTCGGTTCCAATCAGATGGAATCGATCCCGAACCCAGCCTGCTCCCGAATCGGGCCGGTTTGTGGTCTGTGCCCCGTTGGTGTTTTGTTTGTCTCGTCTCTGGTTGCTATTTCTTGTTTCGTTTCGCTTTCGTTTTCGTTTTTGTCAAACGCGTAACCTATGGAATTCGTTTCCAGCAAACGGCGTGTCTGCATCTCAGCCACGTCTTCACCACGTAAGACAACCAATCGCGTGTCTTGCTGCCATACAGCTGGGTCGTCTGAACAGACGCATTGGGGGCTCGGTGAGATATTCGGATCGTTTCCTTAATTACCAACTGGAACACAGCTTGCCGACAGAAAAAAAAACAAGGGCTTTCATTCCTCCCGCCGTCTAAACGCAGACAAGATACATCGCACAGTTATTCCACGTCTCCCAAACGCCACGGATTGTGTTCCACCGACAACATTCGCTTTTTAGGCTTAGCTTGGCCAACGCCACCTCGGTATCGGTCTCGCCCCTCTCTCTTCATCGCCCGTCCCCTCATCCCCGCCACCATCCTTCCATGAGCAAACCCCGTGATATCATCCAGCCCAACCAGTAACCCAGACCTAAGCCAAGTACGGCGCCAAAGCGGTCTTCGCCTCAGGCGACAGACGCTCTTCCACAAACCTGACCAGCGTGCCGTTGTGGCGCTGGTTTGCCTCCTTCATGTACTGGCTGACCCACTTGTCCACCTCGACAATATCGGGGAAGTCGTCGCGGGGTCCGCGCTTGCATGTGTTCAGTGGAGTAAAGCCGACGCCGAAACCGATATCGTCGACATCTGCTTCGTTGACAATGTCGTCGCCGAACCCAGCGGCCACGCGGGGAGGGTTCTTGAGTAGATCCAGCAGGTTGTTGCACGTGAACCCCCACCCTTTTTGGTAACGCTGAGCGAACGCCTCCGACTCACACAGCGTTTTGGTGTACGAGATAACGCCGAGCTTGCGGTCGACAGGGCGCGCGAACTGGCCCGTTGTTGGCAAGATGACGGTAAGATAGAACGGCGTGAACACGTTCAGCTGGATGCCCTCGGCATGCTTGATGAAGAAGTCGGCACCCATATTGCCGTCGCCGGCCCGGGCCGAAACGAGGTGATAGAGTCGCGCCACGCGAGACTTGTACGAGTCAGTGGGGCTCGCTTGCAGCTTGGTAAAGATAAGCGTGACAACAGTGCCGAAGTACGGTTCCAAAACGTCCCTGGCAAGCGTTAGATTCGTGTTCGGGAGTCGTGTCCGGGAAATGACTTGGCAACTTACCCAGGGAATGTGCCAACGATAGCTTCGAGAATATCGAAGGCATTTTGGTCTGTCTTCTTCCCCGCTAGCAGGCGCTGGAAGATAGCGAGGAAGGGCTCCAGTTTCTTTTCGGCCTTGATCTCCTCTGCGGCCTTGGGGATGATAGCCGCCATGAACCTAGACAGAGGCGGTACATTACCCCTCGTCTCCCACGGCCCTGGGGCAAGGACAGCTTCAATGAGCATCTTGAAATCACCGGGTACCTGGTTTGACGGGTTGAGCTCTAGGAGCAGGGCAAAGATCTGGAAAACGAAGGGAACGAATTCTAGGCGAGGTTGTTAGATGTATTTAACAGATGGGTTGCCGGCCTAGCTTACCAGATACATCCTCGTTAAGGATGGCGACGAAAGGTGTCCACAACTGGGGAAGCATGTTCAGTTTGGGCGAGTTGCTGCAATATCTGCCTTGCCGTTAGACAAAGTTTGGTTATCAATAGAGACTCCGAGTCTTACCTTACGAGGGCGCCGATAGCCTCGAAGTGGTAGTAGTAAAACCGCGGGTTGCTAGGATTCTCCTTGATCACGTTGGTGATGCTGATCAGATGATTGAGGACACTCTCAGCCCCACAATCAAGAACGCCCTCCTTCATGACGATGATCACCCGCATGATGCACCTCATCAGGAATTCGTTCTCTTGAAGCTTGGCAGCAGATGTGTCTTTCTCGATCAGAGCGAACAGGTGCTCCAGCAAATCCTTGGCATACGGCTGGATGTCGCTCCGGGGAAACAGGTGCTGGCCCTGCTCATCTGTCAGGAACAGCACCCGCTCCACAGCAATTGCCGCATACGTGTAAACAACGTAGTTGGGCGAAGCCAGGTTTTGGATAAGAGGTTGAATGGCGCTGGCCCATTGGTCTTTGTTGAGTTGACTCCGGAAGGTGTATAGGTATTTGATAGCATCGACCTTCGAGATGGGCTCGGTCCCCTCGGTAAGGAGGTCTGCGGCGATGTTTTGCTCAAAGAACTCGACGACATTGACGAAGCTGTTGACTGTCTTCACTCCCTGGGCGGCCGTGACGGCACCCTTGGCGGCAATGGCTAGAAACAGGTATACGGCGGTGTCCTTGGCTTTCCAATCCGTCTTGCCGAGGCTCAGGTAGTGGTTGATGTACCTAAAGACCACCTGGGTGACAAGTGGTTCGAAATTGTCGAGAAGTTTCCGTAGGAAGTCAGTTGCCGCTCTCCTCCGCGAGTCGGTATCCGAACCCTCGAGGTCGCGCCGGATGAATTCAATAGGTTCATCCTCAAACATCTCAATATCTGACTCCCTGAGTGCCACATTGGGGAGGACCACCTTCTCGACGATTGTGCCCAAGATTTGTTCATTGTTGAAGATTTCGGCATGGCGGCGCACCGAAGCGACAGCGGTCAAGAACTGTAGTGCTTTGCTCGTGAGACTGTCGTATCTCTTTTCGGGACCGACGCTCGACAGCACGTTCCATACGTTGTTTGTGAACTCCTGTACATATTGCCCGAAATCGTCGTCGTACTTGTTGGTAAACAGCTGAAGAGCGTCGCAAATATCCGACTTGAGGGTCTCGAGTGGCGTGGCCTCATCCTCCTCACCGTCGAAGATGGGGTTTGAATAGGTGATGTACTTGTGTAGGAGCACCGTGATGGGTTGCAGGTGTGTCTCAATGATGGGCGGGATATCCTGGCACGCAAGGTCATAGAGAAGCCTTATCAAGAGGCTCATGGTCTCGAGCCAGCCCTTAAGTGCGCTGGCATTGTCTTTGTTTGCCTCAATTTGCCCGTCCACAATCTATTACAACTCCAGTCAGCAGGTTGCCTGGTTGGATGGCGGGAGGCTCCATCTTACGCTCAGCATTTGGATGTAGGGCTCTCCGAAGATACCAACGACGTGTAGAATTTCCCTGTTGAGATCATTCGACTGGAAAAGGGGGCGCCACCTCACGAAGATCGAGTGTGCAACCTCCAGAACACCGTTTGTAGCCTTGTAGTCTGTATTGGAAAGGCGGTTGACGAGGTCCTAAGACTGCCATTAGACGTTGTCATTCACCGCAGTATTAAATGCATCCGGGGCGTACCTGGGTGAGGGTGTCCCAGCGCTCCCAGAAATCGGAGTCGGCAATAATGCTAATCGCTTCGCCGAGCTGTGTCTGTATTGTGGGTGGGGACGAAATCATCAAGCCAACGAGCTCTTGTTTGATGGCCTGCACCTCATCTTGAGGGAGCTTATAGTTGCCCTCCTCGTCCTAGTCTGGGGTCAGATCTCTAGTTCGCTTTTTCCGAGAGATGGAATCCAATCGAACGCACCACATAGTTATGGCGGATGAAGTTCTTGAAGGCGAGAGCGGCGGCAAGTCTGGTCTTGAGAGGTTGAGCGCCGGTGCTCACGATGCTCAGAAGCGACAACGAGTATTTCGGCTTCTTGGCCTCCTCCTTGAGAGCATTCTCGGCTGCGGAAGCATTGGTGTTAGTTTCCTTACTTCAACTCCAGATGCAGACGCGGAAACGGCGGGTCAAAGTCGGCAGCGCCGGGGCATGCACGACATGGCGGGGTTGCTTTGGTCGGGGAGCTTTGAAAATCCAAACTAACCTTTGCGATGGTGCTGCGCATCTAGGGTTGCGTTGAGCAACTGTGCAAGATGATCCAAGGGCGAGGCCATGGCGGGCAAATCTTCGGGGTCAGTGACGTGATGGCGATGGAGATGGCGGTGGCGAGGCTCAGAAGGCTGAGGCAGGAAAACAAAACACCAGAAAAAGCAGAAGCGGTTGCTGAGGTATTGGCAGTGGATTCTGCCTTTCTAGAATCAAACTGAATTGGGCAAACAGAGGGGAACCCTTGGTCAAGGTGGGGTTGCGGCACGTACCGTGGAAGAGGAAATAAAAGTGGGGAGCTGGAAGTCCATTTCATGTTCAAGCTGTGATGGTCGTCCCTTCCTGGGCTCAGCTATCCGTGTGCTTGAAGGGATTCTACCTGTTCCCCGCTCCGGTTAGGTACCTTACCTTATCTTCCAGTTCAGGAGCATTCAGTCCTTTAGCTGCCTTGAACTTTTATCCAAAGCCCTACGCTTACCATCCCAGGAGCCCGTGCAAGAGCTCCTTGTCATTTGTGGCATTCTGCCTACCCTTGCACTATTATGCATTTATCAGGTCAACAAAAACCCGCCAGCAGCTGAGCAGGCACACGGGGCGACCGACCAATCGCTTGTCAGACAACAGAGACACCCACTCTTGCGCCCCTTGCGTGTGACCCCGGATTTTGACTGGATAGCTGGACAGACCTTCGTCATCCCATCTTCGTGGTTGGCCATTTTCTTATCTGCTTTATCCTGTGCCTCCTGCAGCTGTACCCGGCTAGGCGATCGATCGACAAGAGCCGACAGTAAGAAACCACTGAAAAAACGAATCGAAGTACATAAAACGAGCTATTATCCACGAGCAGCAGCGAGCAGCGTGCGTGGCTGCCATCCCGTGCTATCGTGGTGTGGGTGTGGTCCTTGATAAAGGCTGGGAAACCTGGAAGATCGCTTGTTGAATCTTCCCCTCACTCGCTCCTCCAACCAACAAAAACGACTTCTCGTGAGGCCGACTGACGATTGGCGTCCTCCCCAACTCGAGCGACCCTCCTGTTACTCTACATGATATTTATTGGGGCATTTGTGGAAACACCATTTATGCAACTATCACTTCTGCGTGTAAGTGATGTCTCATATCTCACATCTCTGTCGGCCCATGTGTTCCCATCCCTTCCCCATCTGTGACCACCCAACTTCGGCCTAGCATTTGTGGCTCCGGGGCGGACGCCTTTCTTGCTCGGCTCTCTGCTCGCCTTGATACGACTGCTCCTGCCTGCCACTCCCGCCACACCCGACGGCTTCCCACCGATCGACCTGGCCCTGTTAAAGCTGCCCTGCATGCGGCTGCTGCAAGTTCCTGCATGTTCCTGCACGGCAAAGCCGCTACCATCTAGTTTCTCCGTCTCTGGCCGAATCTCACACAGTTTTCCTGGCTCCGGCCCCGATGCCCGCTTGTGTTTTCCTTGACTTCAAAATTACTCATGAGCGGCTTGCTGATATGTTGCGGCGATTAGCTTCTCTAGGCCACTCGGCTGCGGAGGACCAGCAGCTCATGTCGCCTTCGCCCGGAGATGAGCAGCACCCGCAGGAGACGAAGGGCAGCGGCGGCCTCGCCGGCGTCTTCAAGGGGCTCGCGGGCGGTGGGAAGTTGACAAAATCCCCGCCGGTCATTCAACAACCTTTCCCGCCCATCTCCGGCTCCCAAGCCCTCCCTCAGCGATCCGACGCAACCCCGCCGATGTCTGCCCTCCATGGACTCTCTCCTGATCAGGCCGAGTTATTTGTACACCTCAAAAATGGACAATTAAATGAGCGGGTTGCTGCGGCAAACTCGCTGCGTTATGCAATTGCTGACTTTCCCCTCAACCCTGTACGCGTTCTTGCTATAATTTCCCCATCGATTGATACTCTTGAGCGTTTCTGACTTGAAAACGCTCCAGGTCCGCGATATTTGGCACGCCGCGAAAGATCTCATCGACCCCGCAAACCCCGCCAACGCTCGACAAATTGCATGGGAACTCCTGACCGAATGCATCAAATACCCCTCCTCGACCGAGCTTGAGCGGCGTGAATACTTCAGCACACTGGCGAACCCGGCTCTACCCGATGACTTTTATCTCCAGCTGGCTGCTCTCGAGGACCTGACAAACCGGGGTCGCGACGTCTCGGGGTTTTATTACGACATCTTCCCGCTCCTGACCCGGTGGTTGGAGGAAGCGTACAGGGCTGCCAGGACCGCGAGGAGGCAGGCCTCCCGTGGGCCCACCAGGGTCTCTAAAGGGAGCACGCTATCTACGGGCGAGGATAAGAACTTGTCCAGGCTGTTCGCGCTCCTCAATGATGCCATCAAGTTCAATTTCAAGTTTGCCAGGGACGATGTGGTCGGGAGATTGATGGCCATACTCCTCAAAATCTGCATGAACACCAGCGTGGAAGATGACCTGAGGGCGTGCATCATCGTGGTCGATCGCGTGGTCACATATGGCGCCATTCCGAACGACAAGCTGAAAGACTGCATACAAATCTTGAGCTCCATACATTGCCTGGTTCCCAGCTTGCAAAAGGACGCCTGGCACACGATATCCATCATTTGCAGATCGCATCATGGCCAGTCAGCCGTCAGAATATTACTAGACTTACTGCGAACCTATTCCACCTCCCCCGACAAGGACAAGGATAAAGACTCGGTTAGAGACGTCCGCGGCGCTCTCTCGGTTCTGAAGAGGCTCCTATTCAAGTCCGCCGACAAAGGATACCCGGCAGTCTCTTTGGCACTTCTCGTCGACGGGCTAGCAACTGTTTCCAAAAGCAGCTCTACAAGGATAGCGACGGAGATCCTAAAGCTCATCAATGCTGTATTTGACGGGCGTGAGGGTAACATAAACCCCATATTGGTCGAGGAAAACTGGTCGCCGATTTTCGCGGTCGCCGCGCAGTGTGCGACCAAGGTCGCACATCCGCCACCTGCCGCGGAATCTAGCGCCTCTTCTATCTCCACAGTCGTTAAGGACGAGAGGGAGCCGGAAGAGACGGTGGCAGTTCAGCTAAAATACCTGGTCACCCGGATCGAAACGCTGCTCGCTAACAACGACCCTGAGTTCCTACAACGAGATGAATGCATGGTATTTCTTTCGGAAATCCAGCAAGTCCTCCCAGATTCGGCAGCAGCCCTTGTGGTCGCGTACTTGAAGGAGACCCGAGCCTGCTTTCCGTCAGAAGTAGGCTGGGAGGACAGCCTCAAGCTTGTTCTGAACGCCTTCTTCCTCAATAAGGGTCGTGAACCCCTTACCCGACTGCGCGCTCTGGAAGTCGTCATCGAAGTATACGATTTTCTGTGTCTCGCCCAAGGCCTAGTAGACGAGGATTCGGTTGCCAGGCTTGTCCAGCAAGTCCTTGCAGAACTACCCGCGGAGATTGACAGTCTCGTTCTGCAGGAGACGACAGCTTTCTTAATCAAAGTGGCTGAAACGGCGCCTGTCGCGCTATTCGACGACATTCTCGATGCCTTCAAAGGGGTCGTTGCCAAGGACAAAACCAGACCGCCGCCGTCCGTGTTAGCCCCGCACCGAGCCGGCCCAACACTCCAGTCTGGCGGCCAGACCATCTATTTTGCGAACCAAAGCGTCTCCAACGTGGTCACCAGAGGCTACGTCCAGATTTTCATCCGAACGATGAGCAGCAACGGCTCGAAGGCTGCCAAAGCCTACACGGCACTGGTTCATATTGCTCGCTCCAACGCATGCGAGATCGATGCTCGGCTTACAGCCATGAAGATGCTCTTTCGGCTTCGGGCGGATTATGAACATCAGGTCTATCTCACGACTCTGGTGGAAAACGAGACTCTGGCCGGAACCTTGTACAGGACTGAAGCCTCTCTCGCTCGGAAACTGGCCGAAGATGCGGCGCAGCCTTCAAGATTAGCGAGACCAGACCAGTCCGGAGGACGGCCAGCCCGCGGCATCTCGTTTAGTCAAGGACAAGCAACAGAACGAGGGATTCCCACAAGATCGGCATCCACTCCGAAACCAGCCATGCATCAAGGCCAAAGGCTATGGTCCGTACCCGATCCTGATGCTTTGCCCGAAGCCCCTCCAAAGAGGCCGAGTCAGCTTCTCGTGTCGCATATGCGGGATATGAGCGAGACTAGCCCGCTTGAAAACGGGGCAGTAGTCTTGGACATGGTCCCCTGGCTAGAAGCGCTACTGAGCCTCTTCCACCAGGGGTGTGACTGGGAAATTTACAGTTTCATTTTGATTCATCTTCCAGCACAACTCAGCAATCACCCGATTTTCAGGGACGCCATTCCCCATGTCCAAGAACTACGACGCTTGCTCTGTGAGATGATCAGAACCAACGGGTTCCTAGAGCCGCCTCATTCGTCTGGTCGCCGACGCAGCGACGTTGCCAACTGTTTGTTCCACTCGCTCATCATGATCGTCAGCTATCACCGCCATTTCCAAAAGACGGACGAGGACGAGATGGTGAGGACGTTTGCACACGGGATATCAGACAAGACGGCAAAGACATGCATCCACGCTCTCTCGGTATGCTGTCACGAGCTGCCTATGTCGGTGAGCAAGTCGCTTGTCTCCATCCTCCAGAAGATGTCGCAAGTTATCACGCAGCCCTTGGTGGCAATGCATATCCTGGAGTTTTTGGCATGCCTCAGCCGCCTGCATTCGCTATACTCCAACTTCCGTGAGGATGACTATCGTATCGTGCTCGGTATATGCTTTAGGTACCTGCAATACGTTCGCGAGAAGAAGCTCGCGATGCGTGGCAGTGTCGCGAGCGAACCGGCAACCCCTAGCTCCAACACGACTAATCACACGGAGTTTCTTGCACATCAGTCAACCGGCGATGATCTCCCTCAGTACGTCTATGCTCTGGCGTACCACGTCATCACGTTTTGGTTCCTCGCCGTCAAGCTTCCGGATCGGCCGAACCAGATTGGCTGGATTACGAAGAACCTATTTACCGACGTTGATGGAACTGCAAGCACCGAAGAGCACGCGCAGATCACGCTCGATTTCATGCAGCGTGTGGCATTCTCGGATGCTGGTGATTCCGCTCAAGACCCTCTCTTCAAGGAGCAATTCTTTGGCGAGATCCAGAAGAAGCGTTGGATCATCGGTAACAGCATCCTCACGATTCGACAGGCAACCGAGTCGTGCTGGGCTGAGATCACACGCCGTTATCCGTCCGGCACTTCATCGTATGCACTTCGCGTCGAGTTCACTCCGACACCGAATCTGCCAGCCCCAGATGGTTCCGATGCTGCGGCCTGGGAAGGGCGTTTTCAGGATGGCGTCACCATTTTCCCAAGCCACTTGTTAATGCAACTGTTGGCCCCGATGCCGCAGCTGTACGATCCCGCCATCCGGCCCATCCCCTTGCCAGATGAGGACTTTGTCGACCGAGCTGTTCGGGTTTTTGACCGTAATTCGCCGGTGGACGGGCACAAGGTGGGCGTTGTCTACATCAAGGAAGGGCAAACCAAAGAGACGGAAATTCTAGCCAACACAACCGGCAGCCCTGACTATCATCAATTTCTTAAGGGGTTAGGGACCTTGACAAAGTTGAAGGGTGCCACCTTCAACACCCATGGCCTGGACCGCGAAAACGACATTGACGGGAAATACGCGTACTGCTTCCGGGACCGAGTCACCGAGATCATGTTCCACGTTACCACCCAAATGCCCACGAACCCCGAGACCGACCCACAGTGCATCATGAAAAAGCGGCATATCGGCAACGACTACGTCAACATCGTCTGGAACGACTCGGGTATGCCCTTCAATTTTCGACACATTCCCGTCACAGTTCAATTATGTGTACATCGTCATCACCCCGACACCGCATCTCCCTTTTGTTGCCTCCCGCATGCCCCAGGAGGAAGGCACTTCGCACTTTTGCATAGTCCAGGTTATGAGCCAGCTCGGTTTCCCGGAAATCTCACCCGCAGCGGAACCGAAGATGATCAGTCTCAAGGCGCTCCCCAGTTTTGTCCGATTGCTAGCGCTCAACGCCTCGGTCTTCTCACTCGTCTGGGCCAATAGGGAGGACGGCGAGCACGTATCGTCGTGGCGCGAACGCCTTCGCCAGATCAACGCCCTGCGCACCCGCTACGGGCCGAAGGCACAAGGCGTCTCGGCGTCCCCACCACCGGGGGCTATCGCCACGCCCTCAGCCGCTTCTACTACTGTTGCTCCCGGGGGCCTGCCCACGGTAGGCGGGAACCATGGAGGCATTGGCCACCACCATCAGCCCTCCGTTCAAGGGGCTCCTGTTCTGGGCGCCGGCGGGGAGTTTGGTACCGCTGGCGCCGGCGGGGTCAACAACGCGCGGGGGGGCGGCATGCGGGATAGCTTCAGCAGCAGTCTGCGCAGGTCGTCGGTCGCGACGTTCTTTACCAGTGCTCCCAGTACGGATCAGTCGCATCAGTCGCACCGTTCAAGCATGCTGTCGACTGTGACGACGGAAAATGCAGAGGTACTACAGCAGAGCACCGCTGAGGCCTTGGTGGATTCGGTAGACTTTTCGAAATGGACATAATCTCCCTTTTGTGGGAGGGGGGGGGGATGGGACGGGACTGGAAAGGGCTAAAACTGGAGCTGAGATTTGATGACCTGATTGATGGAAGGAATGGTGGTTGGGTATCCTAAACAACTAGGATGGACCGGCGTACAAAATTGGTGTAAAGGGAGATTTTTTGTGTGCCTTACGGCTTCAATATCATGTTATGGTGGCGCAAAACTTGGGTTTGGGATGTGTGGTTAAGTCTTCTTGACAGTTCGAGAAAATATAAGCCGGCGTATTACCACATTGTTTACTCCTGGTCAACCATCACTCACCATGCACCCGCTGAACGGGATTCAGGTTCGGGCTACTTTTTGTGACACCATGTTTGGCGAGGATGCGAGTGTGAAGTAGACTAGCCGAACAACGACACCAAGAAATTTTCATGGTCCCTCTCTTCTTCATGAGAATGCTCCATGACCCAATGGCCAGCTTTGTCCTCTTCATCGCCAGGCTTAGGCTAGATCATTGGCGATGCTAGACGAAGGGGAATCAATCATGCCCGCTCTTTAACCCCCAAAGGCGCGGCCAGAATGGATTTACCGACTAAGGAGCTGAATTATTCAACTTACAGATGTATATAGGTATTTTCTATCTCTAGTATACAGCTGAGGTAGCGTTTACTCAAGGCCAGACCAGGAAGTGGCTGAGAGGGCCATCCTGCTTGCTTAGATTTGTATCTAGCTTGAAGACTTCAGTCAACCCGCCTCTTGAAGGCATGGGGCTATTTCCTCTTTCATTCGTTTGCGGTTAGGTTTTGGGCGAGAAGATGAGTAAATATGAATAGTATTGAAAGTAGGAGATCAGATCCGCAATTCGTAGAGCTTTAATCTTTCTTTTGTCTTTACCATCTCCCCCCCTTACCCCTTCCTCTCTTTCCCCTCGTATTTCGTTCGTCCTTCAGGATTCAATAGCCCAATGACAGCAAACAAACAAACATACGGGGCCGAGCTACCACCAACAGACAAGCTACACGCCACCTCGGATAGCACGGGTATAAACGGCCGGGCTACATCGGGTTGGTTGGCGTTCGCGTTACACAACACAGTCGTTCTACATAGTATGTTCCAATGTTATGTAGTGTATGTATGTCCGGCACTTTTGCCGCCCGCGTGTCACGTCATTGCATTCTTTCCCAGCCTCGACCCACAGCCAAGGTAGTGTGCACGGCGGGTTTTTTGACCTGATATGGAACCGCCACCCCTCACGATATATACCGCAGAGAGTGCTAGCTGGCCAGCTCAGCGGCGTTGAATGCCCATGCTGT